ACGGTACTCATGGATTTACTCTTATTTGATCGGGGTAATCACTTCAAAGCTATGCCTAAGTCACAATTACACTGTAGCATAAAAATAAGCGCAGGAGTATTCTACACATGCAGGTATTACAGGAGTCCTTAAGGGACTGACACGAAAATGCTCTAAGTTCTTTTCACTAGAAATTGCTCTCTGACTGATAAAAGGGCAAAAATATATTTTGATTTCATTTTATTTTTATTATGTAGAATATGGTATCTCTCTTAAGATTATATTATATATTATATATTTATAATATACCTGGCTATCTCCTCTAAAAATGTATATAATTATGGTATCTTTCCTAAAAATGTGTACATTTCTTGAATCCAGATTCAAAGCATATGTCAAGTGGATTAGAAACCCCAGGTACACATGTCAGGGGCTAGGACTCCAGGTTAGACTGACAGGCTGCTAGGCCAACTGCTGGACTGCTGCTTGGCATAGCTACATATCTCCTGGCAGCTCGTGTTCCAGCTCCTGACGCTCCCTCCCTCTTTCCCTGCATAGACCTGGGCAGGCAGGCACAACTGGAGATGGTTGAGCGATGAGGAGCTGCTGGGAATACAGCTGGTGCCAATGACCTGGCACACAACCAACTCTTCACCCTTCCTCCTTATTTGGCATTGAAACCAAAATTTGCAAGTACCTAAAATACACTGAATGCAGATTCTGTAAAGTTTGCTTGTTTTGTTACCATTCTTTTTTTCCATTTAAAATTTAATTATCCCTGAACACCAAGAAAGCAATATTTCCATCAACTCTCTTCCCCGAAGACAATAGTACATATTTTGGCTGACAGAGTTTCTGACACATAAAAATACTTCTAAATGTACAGGAAGAAGCAAGTACAAAATAGATAGAAACTCTAAACAGTAGTTAACTATTTTATTATAAGGAAGCATATCTGAGTAAGACAAAGGAGGTTTTTAGGTTTTGTTTATGCAAGAACATCACCTGTAGAATGCACATTCTCTATTCCCTTTAACTTGCTGGGAATATTTACTCCCAAAGAGATAAATTCAAAAGCCACATAATCAGTACAGGAACACTAATGTGTTGCTGTTGCAAGACCGACTCTTAAGAGTCAACCGATTCCACTTTTTCTGCTCCTTTAAGAACTGGGTCTCACCCCCATTTTCTCTCTTGCTTTATCTAGTTCTCAGGTGAGAGAGCCAATGACCTCATTCTGCTCAGCACTATTGCAACATGGAGTGAATTCTGAATACCTCTGCTTTGTCTTGATGGTATTGCAGAACCCCAAAGTCATCACTCCTTTCCTGCAGTCATCCTGTGATGAGCTCAACACCTCTCAGTCGCCCTTCTATCAGTTATTTGGAGAAGCATCTTTGCCTCCTCCCAAGCAGTGACTTAAAATACTTATCCAGTTTATATTTCCAAGGTCAAAGTGAGAACAATACTATCTCCAGGCTAAGAAAAATAGAAAATTGTTTTTCTAAATCTTAGATTTATGTTTTTTTCCATGTCTTAGTCTCTCCATCGCTCTAGAAATACTAAAGGCTCACAGGGGAAAAGCTTTGTTTTCTACATTATCACAGAGTTTTAACTCTTCCTCGAGACACATGCCCAGTTTGCTTAATTTTCAAGAATTTATTCTTTTTTGTATGTGTTTTTGCCTGCATGTATGTAAGTGCACCAGTGCATGTGTGCATGTAATGTCCATAGAGATCAGAAGAGGGTGTTGGATCCCCCAGAACTAGAGTTATGGGATGGTTGTTAGCTGTCATGTGGGTGCTGGAAACCAAACCCTGATCTACAGGGGCAGCCAGTGCTCTTAACACTGAGCCATCTCTCCGTCACTTTTTATATTGAGTGATGAGCAAAGAAAAAACTCTCCAAATTCTGAACTCAACAATGAAACCCTGAACTAGGAATTTACTGATATCCCTGAGCTGGTATTATTCAATTATTGGAACAAAAATGCATGCATAAAATCATGCTAATTCACATACCCCATTCTTTAAAAAAAAAAACAAAAAACAAAACTATTTTTAACCTCTGACTGTGGCATACGTTTGTTTTATATAACCAAATATTCAAAGAATTTATCATTCAAAGAACATGAAGATTGTGTATTTAATCTTTAGCATGGTTGTAGAAGATATGATTCTCAAAGTACGGCATAGATAAAAATAAGCCTGCAGCACCATGGTGCCAAGTCATCAGAATTCAACATGTTATCAACAAATAGAAGTCATTCTTCTTTATTTCTTCAGCAAAGCAGCTTCATATAAGATAAATAGCTCTCAGTCAAAATAGTCTGACATGCAATATGCATCTTTTTGACATGTATAGTCTCACACTACTTTAGACCGTAAGATTAAAATGAGAATAATCTCAAGGTTCTGTGTTGAAAGTAACACTGGTAGAATCTGCATTTTCTGTTTTTCATTTCTGTCTCCTAAAAGTTGATTCTGTGATTGTGTATATTTGTACACATGTGGCTATTATGAAGTGGCCACCATCTCTTGACCGTCAGTTGCCACGTGCTAAAGTTTAATACAGAGAAATAATTGCTAGGACTTGTCCTTTTTTATAGCAAACACTAAAAGTTACTTCTTGCTTCAGCACAATGGGGTTTTGCTTTCAGAGCCCAAGACAGATTGGAACATGTTTCTCTTAGACAGGAAACTAAGTCCCAGATATGTGGCCTTGGAAAAGCTACTTAGCTCCTCGTTTCTTCCTTGCAAGGGTAGATTTGGGTCAGATTGTTTATACAATTACATCCAGCTCCCAGGTTGTTACCATCTGTAAACCATTCTCTTGTGGTTAACATAGGATTAGATAAGTAGTGCAAGAGACAGAACAAAGAAGTGAAGTGAGTCTAGGTGGCCCTACCTTCACTTTGCGGGTTCCTGCTAAGTGCCGTTTATCCTTGAAAGTGTGGCATTCTGGGGGTCAGCCCCTTCATGTCACAAGCTCCATGGCTGAACTGCTAAGGTAGCCTCTCAACTTTCAGCTTTCAGAGTCTCTCTCTGAGGAGAGGAATCTCGAATACTCATTGTTTCCACATCTACTGGCTTGCACATGTGGAAGTTACAACTTGGAGTGCTAGCAATCTGCCTTTGATCATAGTCTCACTTCTATTTATCAAACCATTTGATCTCTTCTAAACTCATTTCTGAATTTTTCTCCATCTGAAAATTGGGCAAAACCAGTTTGGCATTGTAGAACAGAAGCAAGCATTCTCAAGGGTTCTTCTCCTTCCTTGTACTTCAAGGTCACCTTTCTTGGGCAGTGTTGCTATGGCATTGAACATGAGAACACCAGAAAAACAGAATCTGAGTTTTAGCTAACACTGTTTAGTGAGGCCATGACTTGAAGTGGTGAGACGGGCAAGAGTTGCCTCATGGACTTGACAGGTGTTGCCACGTCAGTTTACACAGACTTATTTTGTCTTAGCTTATGCTGTTGATTGAATTGGCTGCTTTCTTAATTCAGTCTTTTCCTGTCTCTGTGACTCCATCATCCTCCTGTGTTCATCTCCTAGTCCCAAGAACTTCAAAGAAAACTTAAAAAACTCAGGCCTAGTGCTGAAATCAGTTCTACTGCTGTTGGACTGTTTCTGTGTCAAAGGTATTGGGCAAAAGGTAAAGATCTGTGTAAATATAAGAATGCAAGGAAGAATACAATACCAAGTAATTTCTCAAACAGTAAATTAATTTCTCTGGCTTGATGATCCATGTCTTTAATCCCAGCACTTAGGAGGCAGAGGAAGGCAGAGCCCTGTCAGATCGAGGCAAACCTGGTCTACATAGAGAGTTCCAGGCCAGTTGGGGCCCCAGGGAGATTCTGTCTCAAAAAGACCAAAATAATAATAATTTCTAACACACATAAATCAGGTCTGGTGCTAAATAGAGCTCTACTCCCTGCTGTCTATCTGAGTTGGTAAGAGTGTTAGAAGTATAGCACTGCTTGGCAAACCCTTGGCTGCAGCCTTAACTCTGAACTCACTAGGAGCATGAGTTAAGGCAACATACTTACTGTCTCGGTTTCTCGTCTTGAATTGGGAGGCTTTTCTGTCTCGCTTAGCTATGAACTGCACTAAATAAGATAATAAACATAAAGACCTTGGTGCCAAGTTTACAAAAAGCACGTTAAAAGAAAGTACCTAAATATTAGTATTATTGTTGAAAGAGAAAGCTGGATTAGATGATTTAAATTCTTTTTATCTTTGAAATTAGATTCTGTTCCCTTTTTTTCCTCATCACAAAATGCTCTTTGCGGTATGTGGCACACCGCACCTAAGCTCAGAGATTGGGAAACTGACTGGATTTAATAGGAAAAGTGTTCTGAATGGGTAACTGGAAAGATCAAAGCTATCCCATCTTTACAAACCCAGCTGGCATAACTTTTACTCTCCCATAAATGAATCTGCATTTATTATTTCATCTTCAGCTTATATTTACAAATACAGAGAATATCTCACATAACAAAAGCAAGTGCAGAATATTTTTGCAAGCTATTATGACATTTTCAAAAAGCACCATAAACACATGATGTGACTATATATTGTAAAGAAATGAATTTTCCTGTGTGGCTGCGGAGGCTCATTAGCTCAGAGCCATGCTCTGTGTTGTTCTACAGAAGCTGTATGTCACATTTCTCACTAATGGCTCATGCTGTCACTAAATATTTGTCTCTAACTCCCTTGGTCATTGGGAATGCAGGCATCTACTTGTGTGTAAATTAATAGTTCTGCAGAATCAAAATGAGGGACCCAGAAAAGTCTTTCCATTTTCTGAGCATCCAACTATAAAAAAAAAAGCCCTTTCCCTAACTATAGATTTGGCCTGAGTTGTTTCCAAGATTGTATGAAGATTGTCATGTTACAGAAAAAGAATGCTTTATATGATTGCAAGTAATTAATGCTGGAAGTTTACTTTTAAAGGTTTTAGTATTTACATTAAGCTGTAATGACCAGAGGGAGAAGAGTAGGTGTGTTTACTTACTTTCTTCATCAAGGAGACTCTCAGCAGCTGAAAGCAATCTTGTCCTGTCTTGTGGATCAGCAATGTTTAATTCAATGAGATGACTCTCTTTGATATCCTTTAAATCTTCCAGATTCTCATAACCATTGAGCAACAGTGTTGAAGTGTATTCCTGTAGACAAAGGAAAATATATATAATAAATCAACTAGCAGGATTCAAATTTTGTTTAGAGTTAAAGAAAATAGAGAAATGCCTCTGAAAACCAAACACAGCAATAGAACATTGCCTAAGTTCATTTTATTTGCACTAGTTCCAACATACAAATTCTAAGACGTTTAATAGAGAATGTTATAAAATCTTCACCTTCTAGAAGGGCAAATATAAAGAAGAAATAATTACCTTAAACTGTAATAGTGTTAAATCATGGGTCATTTCAGTAGTTGAAGCATTCATCCCATTTGGCACATACTTCACAGCTGGTGAAATTGATAGAGCCAGCACTTCTTAAGTTTGTCAATAAAATGTCTCTAATAAATTTTACTATAGTAATATTTCTGAATCTATCTCTCCTCTTTTTGCTTTATCACAAAATCATCTAGTCTCATGATCTTCTTGGAGTAGATAATGAACTTAGGCACCAGTGAGAGGGCTCAGTTGGTAAAGTCACTTGCTGCAAAGCCTGAAGACCTTAGTTCCATCTCAGAACACACATGGTAGGAGAGAATCCACAGTTGTAAGTTGTCCCTCACCTCCCCACACACCATAGTACATGTGCACACATGCAAAACACTCTCTCTCTCACACACATACACACACATACACACACATACACACACACACAATCTAAATAAATAAACACAAAAACATTAAAAATTAACTTAAAACAGTCACAACTCTATACAAAGTGAGTTTGGCATTTTGATTGAAAGGTATATAATCTGATGAATCACAGACTATTTAATGTTTTAAAGCATGCCTTTTAAAGCATGAGAACCACATAGTTGGAGTAAGCATTATTTCCTTTCCTCAGCAGGGATATTTTCCTCATCACTCACAGCAACATGTATTAGTTTAAAACGCATAGATTTCAGATTTTAAAATGTGTTATTTCTATCACCCCTGCTCTCTCTAACAGAATAACTATGCAAAGTGAAGTTAAAAGGTTTCTGAGCTTCCTCAAAAATTCCTCTCATTTTACTTGATCATAATTTCAATATTCTCCCTTCAGTTACTAAAATTGAAAAAGAAGTCGGAAAGTTTTAACTGATCAGGAAGAACCTATTGCAAACCTTATTTTAACCAAAATATAAAAAGGAAGCGTGATAATTCTTTTTAAAATAGTGTGTATTTCAGAAGAACATAGAATACCCAAATTTCTATATTCCTCTCCCTTTCTTCCTTCTTTTCTTTCTTTCATTCTTTCCTTCTTTCTTTTTTCATCCAGAGTTTCCTTGTAGTCTCAGCTAGACTGGAACTCACTATATAGACCAGGTTGGCCGCAATCTCACAGAGATCCACCTGCCTGGGCCTCTGCCTCCCGGTGCTGGGATTAAAGGTGTGCACCACCATGCCAGGCTAACTGTGATTTTCTGAGTAGGTATTTTACACCCTTGGATGTTTTTTCAAGATCAGAACAAAGTAGAAGAGGTAGGATTCAACTTGTGCTTCCTCCCAGGTTCATCCTAACAGGTGTGCCAGTCCTAGTATAGGGCTTCTTAGGCAGTGTGTCTGCAGACAGGACAGTAACTCCATAATTCAGAAAAAAAAATAAGAAAAAAAATTGCTATTGTCTTGAATTTTAAAATGATCAAAGTACTGATGAGTTAATTTTAGAAATCGAATGCAAAATTGTGAATGGAGTGAGACTAGCTGTATTGTATACTTTCCGTATATTGTTCCACCCAGCAAGACATTTCATTCATTTACTAGTATGATAAAAGCAATTGGATATTAAAAAAGACAGTAGGAGCTACAATGGTGTGATGAGGTAGTATGCAGTACTTATAAAAACAGACTATTTTCCTTAATGTAAATGATCATTGTTTCTTAACAAATTACTTTTAAGATGATGACTTTTAGATACCGTCTCCGGACTTGATTTTAATTTCTGCTCTATAAGAATACAATTTTCTTTTCATTTTTCTTTTGCATTCCTAGACTTTCACTCTGTTCTTCATATTCTTGTTCTCACTCCCATGTAAACATTGTCCAGGGTCTCCTATTCTTCCAGGTATTTTTCATTTCTCTTTGCACTGTCTCTACATTAATCTCTATTGTCACTGACTGCTAAGTACCATGAGGGTTTAGTCCAGCAGACGCTATATCAAGACCTGTCCTTGTACAATAAAGGTAATAAAGGAGAAATAAGAGCTGTTCTAGGAAAACAGATCTTCCTTTGCTGTCTCGTATTTTTGAACAACACTATGCAGATGCTGATTCACGCTCCTCAATTATTCCATCCATTTTGCAGCAAAGTCAAACAGACCATAGACCAAAGGCTTACTAACCTGAAGATGAATCCTCTCTAAGAACTCCTGCAGAGACTTGGGGTTTTCTCTTTCAGTGCTTCTATGTGCCTTGACTTTCTTGGGGGCTGCTTCCTCTTCTGAGATTACATCCACATAAATAAATTTGAAGTTTCCCACTTTACTGTTCAGCATTCCTGTCCACATTCCCATTGGTGTTTTGCAGATAATGTCTATGATGTCTCCTTTCTAAAGGCAAAGGCAAATATAAATCAAATTCCCAAGAGTCATAGAGCTGCAGTAGTATGTACAAAGAAAGGAACTTTAGAAATGAGGATATTGTGCTAAATGTCTTTAGTAATGAGGATATTGTACTAAATGTCTTCAGAGATAACAGAAATAGATATGAGTTCACTTGTTCAATGAAATTGTTTCCTTCAACATGCTTGAAGAAAAATCTCCTGCACATTTAATGATGCATTT